GCACGATTTTGCATGGAAGTGCGGATAAACATGTGGCCGCTTCTCGCGTGTTTACGGAAAGTCATCGAGACGCACCGTAACATATTCAGCGCGACGTGTCCTTCTTGAAATATAGATAAGATAATGCAGCACATATGATTAAAATGTGAAATACGTTAAAACGAAGGAAACGTAAATAGAATTCCTCCGTCTCCCGTCGTGGCCGCTTTACGGCACGACCATTAATGTTTTCGCCACGTCCGAGGGGACGTTGTTGCAGTGCAAATGATGGATAATTGCTGTGCACATAAGCTGCTGACGGCACAAGTAGGCACGAAAAAAAAAAGATAAGATTTATTAGCTGAACCTATTTCAGTCGTGATACCTTGTCTAAGTTTGTCGTGCATTCTTTAAATGCTTCAATCAAGTTTCGCTCGAAAGCGAATCGAGTATAGATTATAGAGATTGGATAAATTTTTTAATTAAAGTACTACGTTAATTGTTTGTTTAAAATTATTAGCAATGTTATTTAAATAATTTAAAAAACTCGTATGTTTGTCATAATAAATAAATTATAGAAAAAATATATTAAGAAATAAATAAACGCAGAGAGAAATTTTTTAATTATTATACAAATCTCATGAGTTGAAGTAAGTTATTTTAGTTTTTTTTAATAAATGTTTCACTGTAAAGCATTATAACATAATATTATTTTATACTTCAATAAATTTATTAATCAATTTAACATTAATAAATGATTACCAAATAAATAATTATATAATAACCAATAGAAATACTATATAAGTGTTTAATTAATAGCTAGCAATATAAATTTTTAATATCGCAATAAACATATTGTATTTTAGACTTATGTATAAAAGAAAATTGTTAAGTACTCTTAATTTCTTTTCCTATCTGCTGTTCCGTAATTTATTACAAGAATTATTTTAATAGTGCACAAAAAACACAAAATTACTTGCCGGTTATACCAGTTTTTAGTCTCAATCATCCGACTTTTTATTCCTTACGTGCAACACGGACACGATAATTACGCATCGATGAGGCGGGCAGATGTCACGGACGTATAGAATGCGCATCTTCATTCTGCCAGCGTGGATATCTCGTACGGCGTGAAATCTCTAAAACTTGATTTCACTTATCGCAAAAGCCAAATAAAAGACGCGCGAGCGAATTGTCACGAAATTAATGAACACGTCGCGCTTATAACGTATCGCGCCACGCCTTCCTAGCTTTTGCCTCCGAACCGTCCGTTACGTATACATATTCATTAGCTCGAACGTCTCCCATTTATTTCTCTTTATTTAGCTTATTCGTGACTCGGGCCTCTTAACTTGTATCCGCAAATACCGCGAGCCGTGCATCGAGTATCGCTTAATAGAATATTGCGGCAAGGGGGAAGCAACCTTACTTCGCGTTCAATCCCTTTAAACTCTCGCTTCGTTGATTACAAAAGTAAGACAGATTCGGATCCTTTATCTGAATCTAGCAGATTAAAATAAAAAGATCTGCGAAAAATCGTTATTAACTTGCATAGATTGTTTCTTTATACGTATACGTATCGTTTTTTATATAATTTTTTTATGCTTTGCCAGCAATATGTGGTCGTTGTAAAGCGTAAATAAAATTGCAAAGTAGCATATATCACTGCCAAATTTGTTGTACAGTCGAACCTCGGTAACTCGAATCTCAAGGGACCAGCTATAAAAATCTTCAAGTTACAAAGATTTCGCCTAATCGAAGTTTGAGTAAAAGAGAGTTAACATATGAAAATTACGGAAGCTTTGTTGGAACGAGAGTTTATAATTTATAATGGGTTTTAAAGTAAAAAATTCGAAGTTTTTTGAGTCAGTTTTCGAGTTATAGAGGTTTGAGTTATCGAGGTTCAACTGTATTCTAAATGAAGCATCGACTGTTTACGCAAATTACACCTTTCTATGCCTTTTGCCTTTTTAGTAAAACAGATGTCTCTAAAGCATATTTATTTTTATACGAAATATTTTAGAGGTCCTCTTTACGAACTGCCAATTCTATGAAATATTGAAATTCGCTTTTTTGTAATAAGAATCATTTCTCACACATCATGTACTTTAGTACATATATTAAAAATAACATCATTTTTTTGTTAAATGTCGACGAATAAATAAATAAGCGACGTAATAAACATCGAACGGTTTCGACAAATGGAATATCCATGAGACATTTGTTGTCGATATGAAAAAAAAATGGCAGCAGAATGTGTCGAGCTCAATGACATGGGTATTTCTTATAAAAAAGAAGAACAGTTGTACTGATCTCGACCGATGTCCTTTTGCCTCGAGGCATGCCAAGTCGAAATTTCGTTTCCCAATGAAGAAGTTATATCAAGATAGTCGATTTCACATGCTCAAGTATTGCTTCAAAAGTGTCAGAGGCATTTGATGTTTTTCATGTCGATACTTTCTCTCGAGAAATTAAATCGTTAACATTTTAATTGTCGAAAGGAATGGACTAACTGGGAATCTCATTGGAATTTAACCGAGCGTGAATGAAGTGCTATTGGAATGAAATGTAAGCACATTGGAAAAGATGTAAATTACGCGATTGTAAAAAACTGAGGTAGAGCTTATATAGCGTCTGGAATAGAATTCAACGGTGATTAAAACCCAAAATGAAATTTGAAACAGTAAAAGGCATTGAATTGCGCACCGAGAAAAAGTGTTTGCTTTAAATGATGAGTTTCGTGATTGCGGTTCAACGCCATATAATTAGCAAGTTTAAACACGGTTCGGATACTGATTGAGCAAACGCAGATTAAATCGATCAGTCTCGAGCAAATAGCTCGCAGACATGAAACAGGATACTAAGTAAGCATATCCTTCGAGAAAGTGGAGAAGCAACGAGGTGTTTGCGCTTTGCGGGGTGTAGCCCGAGTGAATGGTGCTTTTATAACACGTACGGAATGGAGAGTGAATGAAGCAACTGTATTGTACGCGCGCTGCCTCAGAGATTTACACGCATGCAACGGAGGCGCTTTTACAGCCTACGAAAGTACGCGTCGAAACAAGTTATATAAATATGTTAATTTGCCAATATTTGCCCGCGGAACGCGCGGTAGACTCGATCGAGCGAATATTCGGAGACGCGAATGCTACAATCAGCAGGGGTCGATAAAATAACTGATACAACTTATTTAAAATAACAAATATAAAATAGATTCCAGAAACTTATTTAAAATAAAATATCGCAGGGGCCAATAGAAAACTGATACGACTTATTTAAAATGAAAAATATAAAATAGATTCCAAAAACATATTTAAAATATTAAATAAGAAATAAATCAGAAGAAATTATTTTGAATAATGAATACTAAATAATTCTTTCATTTTTTTTTATTTAAAATACATATTTTAAATAATGTTTTTTTAAATAGGACCCATCCTTGATAAGCATAAATCGATAAAGTAACTAATATAATCTATTTAAAATAACAAATGTAAAATAGATTCCAGAAATACGATTTATTTAAAACGAAAAATATAAAATAGATTCCAAAAACATATTTAAAATATTAAATAAGAAATAAATCAGAAGAAATTATTTTGAATAATAAATACTATACATAACTCTTTTACTTTTTGTTATTTAAAATACATATTTTAAATAATGTTATTTTAAATAGGACCGATCCCTGCTACAAACGATTTGCAAACGAATTTAGAGTTAATGTTGTCTCGCGGTGCAGAAGATTGAAGAGAAGATTGAAGAGAATGTCGTGACTAAAGAAACTTTTTAATTTTTTATCGAGTTTTTTTTATTAATCTAGTTGTCTCGTATCCAAGTTTTGCATAGATAGTTTAGTTGAAATTTAGTTAAGATTGCAATGTTTCTCTCTCTCTTTCTTCTCAATTTTTTAATTAAATCTTCCCGTATTAATATCCAACAAAACCTTTGTGTTATCGAAACAATTCGTTTTCTTTATTACGCACATAAATTTTCGCAAGTCACGCGTGAAATTTGTCGGTCCAAATGTGTCGAGATGTAATTACGCCAAAGCGGCTGTCTATTAATTGTTTCGGTGCAAGCTGTTTCTTACAACCCGGGAACATTTTCTTGTTTGTCTCGCTAAAAATCTGTTACTTTGCGCGTTTACACGCATTACACGTATTCGTTAAATCACCACCGGCAGCAGCCTCGCCGCACCGCCCTGATTTCTGATTTCTCGTTCACCGTAATGCCCGTCATAAATTTCAATCGCGCGTGGTACGACCTGACACGAGGGAATTTCTAATTTCGGAACGTTGCAGCCCGGCATCGGGAAATAAATGAAATCAATCAACTCGGTGCGCGACATGTGCGACTGCATAAATTATATTTATGCAGCGGCGCGAACAGAGATTTATCGTCTTCTGATGCGGCGTACCACGCACTGGATAGTTTTTGCACAATTTCACTAATGACAAATTATGATAGCGTTCGTCGTGAATTGCATGAGAAGAAGAAAATCGAAAAAGATCACCGTGTCAATTTTCTCAGAGGGATAAAACCCGGTCGAATTATTAAAATGCATTCTCAAGATATCTCGCGTATATTTATTAGTATTTACCAGATTGTTTTATACACATGTATAACATTATAGTTCTAAATATGTTTTTTGCACGTTATAAAAAAATTGTAGAAATTATAAAGTTAATTATACACGGAAAGAACAATTTTGCTGAGTCCAGATCTAAAAATAATTTTTGTTCAATAATCCAAATAATTTGGTGCAAAAGTTAAAATAATTGCTAGAATATCAAAACATTTTATAGCAATGCTTATCAATTTTAACATTCCAATAAATTTTCAACAAAAAATTATTTTCAGATCTATATTTAGCAATATATTTAGATTTTTCAACAAAATCATTCTTTTCGTGTAGTAATTAATCTTATAATTATAAAATACATTACCTATAAAATAAAAAATTGTAAAAATAATTGTAATTAGTTTACAAGATTATATTACGAAATTTTTCTTTACAGATTCCAACTTCCCCGTTATAGGATCTTTATGGATTTCGCAATAGCAGTCGGGGTGGTCGAAGTGCATAAAAACTATTGCAAAATGATCCTACAGTTTCGACTACCAGTCAACGTATCTCGGTGAGTTATATTGCAACAGAAGTGGTATCTTAAGCTGGATACACAACGAAATGCTTATTCCATTTCATATTATTGCGTATTAGCTTATTCCATTTCATATTATTGCGTATTCGAGAAAGAGACCGCGTACGGAGTTCAGCGAGACAGATTTTACGTTCATCGTAAATGTCCTCGGTCTTTAAATAATTCCTCGCCCATATTCTCGAGGAAAAAAAAAGAAACACGACGATACTCATCCGATTAGACTAATCCCAAACGATTTTCATATAAACACGGTCGTAGAAATCAACTAATATCTCCAAACCAGATAACATAAATTCGTAATAAAAATTGTACGAGCGAGCTCCCGGCAATGCCCTGCGGGCAATGAGAAACATTACGCGCCATTTTACGCGCGAAATAATTTATGTTCGCGCATTCGTTATTCGTAAAATATAGTAATAATAAATGGCTCGCATTTACGCGATTAAAATAATACAACGAAAATAATATATTTATAAGCAAGGAAATATTCATAAGCAATTCATAACATTTCTACAAAAATAATTAACAGCCTCGGGCTTAACGTTGTCGCGGAGATAATTGCCAATTGGACGGGTGTGGATATGTCTTTATCTCGCGTACCGAGGCTCGTCTATATTGGCGATATCATTTGGTCTACCGAACGGGTGTAAGTTACACACGGTGTCCATATCGCAATACCCGCGTTCCTCCTTCGGGTAACACTAGAAATAAAAGGCGCACTTATGACGCATTAGGTAACCACGGTGCCGTTATAGGGTGCAGAAAAGATCGCTCTTTCGTGCCCGTAATTGCAATGGCAACATCCAGCGCATAATTTTGTCATCACTGTCGGCCGCGCGTTTACCGAACGTACCCGGCGAGCGGCGATACGTGCGAGCTTCAATCTCTGCATCGGTAAACGGCGGCGGTGACAACTAAGCTTCGCCTTATCTATTGAAAATATAAATACTGTATTGAGTAACAGGAAATTGAAGCCATAACTCGCACGATCGGTATAGCGAGACTATTAACGGTAATCTCCGACTGTCGGCAGGAGAATGCTCGACTTTCCTTTCTCGCAGCGTTTTGCAAAATTCAGGTTTCCGCGTTTCCGATTGCGCGGGCTAACATTACAAAAACGAAAGCGAGCATACAAAATACAGTGTGTGAAGGTAGACCTTTATCTTAGCTCGCGTTTACGTTCTTTTGTTTCCACATGAAATATAAAAACTTAGAAAGCGGGTAAATCGTAGATTATACGGAATTACTAAGCGTAAATTATCATACTGATTGAATGATGTTTTTGTTTGAAGCAATATTTCAGCTTTTTGATTTTTTAAACTTTTCAGCGGCGACCCTCTATTATGAACAGCAGCTCGGTTTCTCATTTGGTTATCTAGTAGTAGGTTTTTGCAACTAATTGCAGGACGTCTTTTTACATTGCGCAACCGTGAGAGACAGGTAGTGACGCGGCATTGCTTGTGTCGTTTACTACGTTCATTAATTAGCGCTGCGGGCACTCATTAACTACAGCTTTACTGTGCACAATGTTGCGCTTAATGCCGCGGCGTCGAATAAAAGTAGCGCGAGGGGCAGTGCGTGGCTGTCGTGCCACGGTAAAATGAAAGGACGCCGCGCCACAATTATCTCGATTACAAAAGCGTTAAACGGCTTTTTGCGGGAACGTAAACGAGATGGACGCTGATCCCTCGAAACCCCGTAAAACACTGATCGATGCCGGCCGGCGTCACGCTCATATGCATACATGCTTGTACCTTGCACTTACGGGTGTATCGAACTGTGATTCTGCTGATGGCGAGAAGAGCATTAACGACATTAGCGGCTTCCATAAAGCTATGAAGATTTCCCAAGATAAACGAAAATTTTAAAATATTAAAAAAAAACTTCAAGATATTATTTATTGTTGAATCACCCGATTGTTTGCGATAACTTTTATGTGAAAGTTATATGAGCAACGCAGTTGCTAAATTAAAGAATCATGTGTATCGTTAAGAATTTTTTTTTTAATAATGGATATAATTATAAAAGGACGGAATCTGCAATATATAATAGGAAATACATGTCAATAATATTTCTAGGCACGATTAATCACAATTAATATTTTAATACAAACGCAAATACAAACCTTTCAATTACGATCGAGATATTATTAGCATTCTATTATTTGCACATTTTACTTATAAAATATATTAAAATGTCTTGAAATTAATGTAAGTAAGACTATATGAATTAAGAGAAAACATATAATTTATTCTGTTGCGTTACCTTAATATTCTTCTTATGAGGTACTTCTTATATGTAAATAATTTTCGAAAAGATCGAGAGAACGGCGTGTGGCCGCGTTGTGTAGCAGTTGGTCGCGCGAGGAGAGAGAGAGAGAGTTAAAGAATCCGCGCGCGTGAAATCATAGTCTGCGGTTTACCTTCCTTTAAAGCGTCGCGAATCCCGAGAGGGTTAATAAAACCGCTGCGCGCGGCTGCGTTGTTCGAGGACGTCGCGGACAGTCGGACGGTAATTACGAGGCGCGACGGGACAGTCGGAACGGACGCGAAGTCATTCTTCTTGATCTCGCCCGTGGGGGAGGCCAACATCACAGGCCATCCATCATCGTAGCGCCGTGCTTGCCGAGTGCGTATCTGCCGATAGGGCCCGTCCCGGAGGATTTTACACGCGCGGCGGCGCGAACAGGAACGCCGCGCCGCGCCGCGCCGCGCCGTTCGAGGGGATCGAGATCCCTATCGGGGGATCTATCCGTCGGTCGGTGGCGAGCGGGGCGGATGTGCATTCGAGTGTGCGTTCCTAAGTGGCTCTTGACCTCGCACTTCCATCGTTCTACACGGTCGCGTACGCGCTCGTTTAAGCCGCGGCAGCTTAAGGATCCATTCTACCTTGTGGCTCGAGAAAGAAAGAAATGTGATCAATATCACACTTCGTTGTTCTTACATTTTATTTGTACGACTTTTCTCTTTAATTTGTAATGTTCTAAAGTCAATTTATTGACTGTAAGTCTATGCAAAGTTCCGGTGAAGAAGCTTTTCCGAACTTGAACATGGGTCGCCGTGGGAGAAGTAATGAAGGTCGCACCAGTCATCTAAAACAGTTAAACCAACGATTTTCCTGTTCAAAATGAATGTCTCTGTAGAATTAGACTACGATTATATCAATATCAATAATACTTTTTTTTATCGCAAAAATAAGAACAAAATTTAAAGCCAAAGATCGAACTTTTTTTTCAAATGGCCGCCGTTTTGTTAATTTTCATGCAAGATCAATTATCGTAGTCTATTCCATAGAAACATTCTTTTTGAACAGGTTTTCTAACTGTTTTAGATGACTAGTGCGATCTTCATTACTTCCCCCATGGCACCATGTTCAAGTTGGAAAGGCTTCTTCACCGGAACTTTGCATAAACTTACAGTCAACAAATTGACTTTAAAACATTACAGATTAAAGAGAAAAGTACAACAAATAAGATGTAAAAATAATAAAATATGTGATCTTGATTACTTTTCCCGAAGAAATTTCCAAAGATCGCCTTCTTTTTCGAGCCGCGGTAGAATGGACCCTTCTTTGGCCGATATAACGTCTCGTCCTTCGGAACTCCGAAGAATCTACGGAGAAATATGGACACGTTTCTTGTTCATTCACCACTGTGACGAGCCCGAAAAGTGGATCGCGGCAGCGTGCAGCAGCAGCTAGCGGAGTGGAACGACGATTTCGAGGAAATATCGCATAATAACGGTGCGCATCGAGTCGTTTCTCGGTCGGTTTGCGGTTGTCAGGAAAAATGATGGGATACTTTCGTGTGTAGAATCGAGAAGTCGAGTAGAATTCGGCGATCAAAAATTTAATAAATTTTATCGAGATGAAATATATATTCGTTGATATCTCTCGTTTAATAAATTTTTCATTTTTATTGTAATCCTATGTGAATTTAAAAATAGATTATTTACACGCAGCTACGAATTAGAAATATATAGGTAGAAATTCTGTAAGTTTATCACGAACATTACTAAAAATTGAATGACGTAATTATAGTTGGAATTATTACATAGCAACCGAGTATAAATCCTAGCGGGTAATCATATTTAAATCTATTTTATCTAATGTGATGCATTATTTCATTGGTACTTAACTCTCGAATGTGTTAGATTAGTGACACGATAAAACGAAGACGAAAATTAATTTGCAACATTTGAATCGCACACCATCTCGCAACGTAATTGCATCATTAATTACATTACTTATTATACGCGACGGGAATTCCGGAAACTATCAGATCTGCATGATTATCTCTCATTATAATCTAACTTACAACTTCGTTCGTAATTTAAATTTACATTTATCAGATTGCGCAGCATTTACTAATATTTATATTAATTTTTTATTTATTGCATTATATCGTGGAAATTAGCGATGGATAATCATTAGACAATCGCGCCGACTGTAAATGTTATTCGGCGAGCCGTGCGGTTCAAACTGATAAGACCGGAACGATAGAACTCTCGCCATCCCAAGATAAGACTCGGCGCTATTAATTAAATATTTCAAACTTCGAGATAGCCTGGAGAGATCACTATATAAGCGTCGGTTATTGACACTTGCCTGGACAACACGCGCGTTTGTGATCTATCGGGTCTAATATCGACTAGCAGAGAAACATCTGTCGCTACACATTAACATATCGACACGTGTATGAAACGTATGATCGCGGACATACATTCATATTATTCATAATGGACGTAGCCAGTAATCATATCGTACGCGAAATATAGTGCTACATTCAGACAAAAGTTCAGATTAGTTGTTAGCAGGTCTCGTTATCGATGATATAAGTGGTATATTAGATAAGAAGTATAGCAGATGCCTTTGAGAAATACGCACGTGATAGAAAAACGCGCGTTTCCTTTATTAGGATTGCCACTAGTGAACATTTTTTTCAAATTAATCTCTTGTGATTTTAAATAGAATTATTG